GGAGGCAGAGCCAGGCGGATCTCTGTGAGTTCAAGGCCAACCTGGGCTACCAAGTGAGTTCCAGGAAAGGCGCAAAGCTACACAGAGAAACCCTGTCTCAAAAAAACAAGAAAAAAAAAGTAGAACAATGCACAGCACAGACATTCACCCACTATCTATCTTGTCCTTGAGTCAAGGAGCAGGCAGTTTCATTTTCTGTCATGATGTACTTCTGATATGCATCAGGAGCCTGCATATAGCTGGATAGTATGTTCCTTCCCATGGGCTAATCAGGACTTTCTTACAACCCTGGTGCAAGCAAGTCTGAAATCTGTTGACTCAGAATAGACTTCACATTCAAACCAGGAAACTGAGTCACTTGTGGGCTCCCACACTCCTCTAAAGAAATAAACAAGATTTCCCAAAAATGTAATAGAATTGAAAACCAGGTGTAATCCCAGCATTCAAGGAGCAAGACAGGTGATTCTCTGAGATTTCGGGGCCAGCCTGATCTATAGAGAAAGTTCCAGAACAGCCAGGACTACACAGAGAAACCTTGTCTTGAAAAGTCAAAATAATAATAATAGTAATAATAAGAAGAAGAAGAAGATTGAAAACAACACAATAACACACTCATGTTCATTGCAGCACCAGACACAAAGACCAAAATGTAGAAACACTCTAAATGTCCATCAACAGGATTAGGAAAATGCGACATCTTACTGTTAACAGACTTAAAGGAAAGGAAGGTTCACAAAACGCAATAATTTGATAAATCTTAAGGATGCTGAAGCATATGTCAATCAAGGGTAAACAACCATGGATCTATTTATATGAATTACCTCAAATTCTCCAAGACTCAGAGAGTGCAAGGATGCTATCTACCACGGGACAGAGGAAGGGAATATTGTTAGTCAATCAGCTTAGTGTTTTGTTTGCACAAGATGAAGAAACTGCAGGTCTGTTAGCAAGGTTTGGACCTATACATTTTTCTATATTTTCAAACCTGTTGAAGGTAGAGTTTATGTCACATATTTTACCACAATACATTAATTATTATGAATATATTGTCAATGCATAAAATAATAACTCATGTGGAGGCCCACAAAAGTTTTCTAGTGAGATCTGAGTTTGCTTTATCCACCAGGGTTGCAATAGAGGATTGCTTGACCATGTGCATGGGAAAGGTCTACACTTGGCTGAACTAGTG